TAGGGGCAGGGAAAGCATTTGTCTGTGGAGTGCGTCTGATTTTGAGGGAGTTAGAGCTCAGATGCAGCCACCCTCTCAGTGCCTAGTAAGGAGCTCACTTGGCTGGCTCCTCTTGGGTGGAGTAGTAGGAGTGCACGGAGTGGCTTCCTGGCCTGCGTGGAGGGCAGGCAGAGGCAGGGGGAGAAAGAAGCTAGGCCATAGGCCTCTGCCAGGTTCTGCTTCACCACCTTCCTCCTGGAGCCACGGGGGGGAGGTCGGTTCAAGTGTGATCCAATAGGCACAGCACAGGGTGCAGTGAACATCACTCTACTCTTCCAGCCCCGAAGTTCAGAGTGCTTAGATCCTTGCACTTAGACAAGTAGCCTTGGGTGGCCAGGCAGGTAACTGAGTGAAGTTGGCCAGGAGGCAACTAGGGAGGGCACCACAGCTCAGAAGCAGCCACACATGGGAGGGAGTGCCCATGCTGCCTTTCCCTTGTCGCCAGAGAAGCCAAAACTCAGGAAATGTTACTTTAGCCATTGGCAGCTAGTTCAAGTTTACAGTGTTGTGTAGGGATGAGGGTGTTGAGAGCCCAGTGGTGGTGTGTGCATCTCTAGCACTCTCCACAGCCTGGGCAAAGCTGAAGGTGCGGCTGTGTGGGGTCTTAACTGCTCACATTCCCTGCTCAGGGTGTTTTGGGGGGTTCCCCAAAGGGTCTGTGGGAGATGTAAGGCACTAGCTTTGGAGCCCACAGAGCAGTTCAGGTACTAGCCTCTGCACTCATCTGGGCAGTGGGCACTGAGGGAGCCTCAGCTGTTTGCTTCTCTCTCCAGTGAGAGGAGTCTCCTGCCTCAGGGAGTGGCCTGGCTAGCAGAGTGCTGCTCCATTTCCACCACTACCCTGCTAAGACTCACAAGGAGAGGCTTGAGTCTTTATTTTTTGGTCAGTCATGGGGCTTGAACTCAGGACCTGGGCGCTCACTGTCCCTGAGCTATTTTGCTCAAGGCTAGCACTACCACTTTGAGGCACAGCTCTGCTTCCAGTTTTTCTATTGGTTAACTGGAGGTAAGCGTGTCATGGACTTTTCCTGCCGGGCTCGCTTTGAATGCATTCCTCAGATCTGAGCCTTCTGAGTGGCTAGGATTACAGGTGTGAGCCACCAGTAGGTCCTCAGTTCTTCCTGTTAAGCCATTTAGCAAGTGGTGGGATGTCTGGAGCAGGGTGTCTGCCCAATTCCTTGGGCAGTCCACCCATTCGATGTGCCCAGCCCACCTCTGACAGAGGGCAGTGACCCGTACAGACTGGCTGCTGTGCAGAGTGGGCCTCTGGAGAGTGGTAGAATGCAGCAGGAGTGCGCACAGTGCCCGGCAGCGAGGGTTGTTGCAGACACGCCATGGCACACAGGACCCCACCACCCCCACCCTCCCCACCCCCTGCCCGCCCGCGCGGTGCTTCCTGGATGCTGGATTGAGGACTAAGCCACCTGAAGTCCACAACGGTGGGAACCACAACGTTTGTGTGGTTATGCAGGCCTGTAACACCAGCTTGAAGGAAGCAGAGGCAGGAAGGTTGTGAGTTCAAGGCCAGCCTGAGCTATATGGGAAGACCCTGTCCCCTTACTCTCTCTTCCCCCCAAAAAAAGTTTGCTTGCCAGTGCTGTAGCAAGAGATAAGGAAAAGCATCTTGGGGACAGGAAAGGTTGCAATTTCAAATGCGGTAGTGGGGGAGGCCTGCCTGAGGAGGTGGCATTGAAGTTCTGAACCGAAGATGGGAGGCGCGGGAGGGAGCGGCCAACAGGGCTGTGAGTGCAGGAGGGGAGAGGCCCGTGGGGGGGGGGTGCAGGGGACTGGCTCGGAGATGTGTGGAGTGTGCACATGTGGGCAGAGGCAGGGCTGAGGGAGATGAGTGTCACATGCCACTTGTAGCATGGAGATGGCCGAGTGGAGGCAGAGGGCAAACAGGCGGGGAGTGGAGTGGGCAGGATTGGTACGGAGGAGTTGGCCTAAGTAGTGACAAGTGTGGGTGCTGGATGTGCAGGAGGAGGAGCCAGAGGGATCTGCTGTCTGGCAGGTGTGGGTTAGCGTGGCTTGGGGTGAGGGGGGCAGGTGGCTGCTATGGGGCTGTGGGATGGTGGAGAGCAGAGCAAGGGCGGAGGTCAGGGTGAGGACTGACTAAGCCTTAGCCCTCTGGTGCTTAAGGTAGCTGCCGGCCTGGGCCTGGGCAGGCTGTGCAGTGCAGTGCGGCGTGGTGCGGGCACTCTGCACACCCACTCAGTAGGTGGACAGCTGGCTGCAGGCAGGTGGCATATCCATCTTGAAGGCAGAGAGTGGGGTACCCCGTAGTTGGGGCGTGGTATGACATCAGAGCTGCTGAAAGGCCGACCTGGGGAGGACATGTGTGACCTTGACTGGGGCAGAAGCCTCCCAGAGGAGTTGTGACCTGGCTGGTGCTTATGTGGTGCCCAGTGTGAGGCAGCAGGGAGAGCAGAGGTGCTTCAGAATGGCAGAGCCACTGCCGTGGTGGGCCAGCTTAATTAAGCAGCAGGGACCGAAGGACCGGCAGGAGAGGTGTGCAGATTCAAGGTTATTGTCTGAGGGAGGGGCTTGCGGGGAGGTGCCCTGCAGTCTGGCAGTGCCAACAGCCCGAGTGAGGAGGTGCAGGAGATAGAAATCCCACTTGGGTAGGGAGGAAAGTGGAAGAGTGGAATGGAGAGGTAGCAGCAGGTGGCTTCAGGGGGGCTGGAAGTAGGAGCTGCTTGGCCTCAGAGGTCTGGGGAAAAGGGTGTGGCTGTGCAGACCTCTGCGGAGCAGGGGTGGAGCCTGCACCCCTGCTCTGACTTGCATGGGTGGAAGGACTCAAAAAACTGAGTTGTTCAAGGGCAAATCATGCAGCCAGTAGTGTGGCGGGGCTGCTTGTGGCTGGTGCTGCACACAGCTAGTGCATATAGAAGTGCACTGCTTCCGGGGCTACTGTCAGGAGACTCAGTTTCAAGGGGTACCCCTCTATCACATCTAGCAGCCTGGAGGTGTGGCCTTTGTCAGGGTGATTTCTGGGCCAGGCCTGCTTCCTGCTCTGGTTGCTCTTGATGGGTTGTTGGGGTGCCCCTCTGCAGGACCTCCATAAAAAGTACTCGTACATCCGGAAGACCAGGCCTGATGGGAACTGCTTCTACAGGGCGTTTGGCTTCTCCCACTTGGAGGCACTGCTAGATGACAGCAAGGAGCTGCAGCGGTGAGGAGGGAGGGCTCCCACCCCTGCCTTCACCAGCCAGAGGCTGGACTTCCACTTGACTTGGGGGTGGCTTTGAGGTGGGACAGTGCTGGCTGTGAGCCTCCTTTCCCCTCCCTCCACAGGTTCAAGGCTGTGTCTGCCAAGAGCAAAGAGGACCTGGTGTCCCAGGGCTTCACTGAGTTCACAATCGAGGACTTCCACAACACGGTGAGCCCCAGCTCCTGCCTCCCGCTGGCCCGGGGGAGGCCGGGCCCCTGGTGGGGTTGAGCCCTCCGGCTCCCTCATTTTGCCTTTTGTGCCTCCGTGGGGCAGTTTATGGACCTGATCGAGCAGGTGGAGAAGCAGACCTCAGTAGCTGACCTGCTGGCCTCCTTCAATGACCAGAGCACCTCCGACTACCTTGTGGTCTACCTGCGACTGCTCACCTCCGGCTACCTGCAGCGGGAGAGCAAGTTCTTCGAGCACTTCATCGAGGGCGGGCGGACGGTTAAGGAGTTCTGCCAGCAGGTGCCGCCCTTCCCCTCCTCACCCATTCACTCTTGCCTCAGGGCGGCCAGAGCTGGGGGCAGGTGCATCTGGGTGACAGGGTTTGGGGGTCTGGGAGAGGTGTTGGAAGGGGTCTGACATGCACCTGTGCCGCAGGAGGTGGAGCCCATGTGCAAGGAGAGCGACCACATCCACATCATCGCGCTGGCCCAGGCTCTCAGTGTGTCCATCCAGGTGGAGTACATGGACCGTGGAGAGGGTGGCACCACCAACCCACATGTCTTTCCCGAAGGCTCGGAGCCCAAGGTCTACCTTCTCTACCGGCCGGGACACTACGACATCCTCTACAAATAGGGCTGGCCTGCCGCCACCCTGCCTGCCTCCCCTCTGCCAGGCGCTAGACATGTACAGAGGTTTTTTGTTTTTTTTTTCCTTTTTTTTGTGGTTGTAAATGGTCATATTTCACTTCCTCCCTCTTCCTGTCACAACCTTCCATGTTTTATTAAAGGGGATGCTGGTGGTGAGTCACGTGTGTGTCCCTGCTCTGCTCTCCCCCTCCCCCCTCCTTTTATTGGCTGCTGTGTGTCTGGCTGCCCCCTCCCCCGGGTGGATCCTTCTGCCTTCCTTCAGGCCTCCCAGCTTCTCCACCTGGAGCAGTTTTAGGTTAGGCCTTAGGGGACCCTTTCTGGTTCCTTGGAGTCGTTCTTGCTTGCTTTGTAGACCTCCTCCCTTCCCTCAATAGCTGGCCCTGGGGCTGCCATAGGAATCCAAGTTCCTTGGGGATTTTCCGACGCGCCCATCTCCCCCCCCTCCCCCCTTATTGCCACTCCTAGGCTGCTTGCACCCTGCTCGTCCAGAGGCCTGGACCCCAGCCTCGGCCCTCCACTGAGGATTTGCATTGGGAGTCCAGGGAGAAGAGGGCCTCCGCGATGGGTGTGCTCAGGGCAGGTGGGGGAGCTAGGCACCCTCACTGGGTGGGGCTGGCCTGGTGTGGGAGGGGCTCCTCCTCCTTCCCCCCCTCCCCCTGCATCCCGGCCTGTTCCTGCTCTGCACCTCCCTTTGCTTGGGTTCCAGTGTCTGCATTGCCTGCCTTTTTGCCTTTGCCTTTTCTCCCTTCTCACCCCAGCAGCTGCCGGCTCTTACCCCCAGGCTGTGAGCTCCTTGGGGCAGGCCCTCAATAAATACCAAGTGCTGCCACCCTGCCGTGTGGCCTGTGCCTTCACCCGCCTGGCTCAGCCAAGCCAGGCCCATCCCCTGGCCCGGCCCACCTTGGGGGTCCCCCCTTAGCCCCAGCACTCCGAGGATGGGGCTGCAACGGTTCTTTATTAGCAGGCTCCGCTGGGCAGGGCTGGGCCGGGCGCGCAGAAGGTAAGCACGGAGAGGGTGGTCAGCTGCGAAAATGGCTGACTCCGGACACCTCAGAGCTGGGAGCAAGGCCCGTCAGGCCCAGGCGAGTCTGAGGGTAGAACAGAGGGGTCAAAGGGAGCCCAGGCTGTGGAGGCCCCCCAGGGCCCCTCCCTGGCTCCCCACCTCCTGCACTGGGGGACGGGAGGGCAGAGCAGCGTTAGAGGACCAGGTTAGTGTCGGGTGGCACCGGGCCAGGCCCTGCTTACCAGTCCTGGTCTGGTGGCTGCAGGAGCCTCAGGCTGGAAGGCAGAGGACAGTGAGAGCCGCCCGCCCGAGGGGGGAGGGGGAGGGGGCGGGGCACCTACCCGCCGGGAAGTAGTGCGGCAGCCGCTGCCGGTAGATGCGCTCGTCCTTGTCGAGGAACACGCAGATGACCAGCCGCTCCACCTGCACCAGGGCAGCTCAGCTGGGCCCGAGTCCCCCCCACCGCCTGCCCCTTCTCTGGAGGGTGAGCCCAAGAGGCCCCCCGGGCCTGTGCTCCCTCCCCCGCCGCTCCGCCGGGCGCCGGGTCCCACCTTGTCCTTGTGCTGCTCCAGCCACGCCCGCAGCGTGGTCAGCACCACCTCCGCGGCCGCCTCATTGGGGTACCCTGGGGGCGAGGAGGGCGCGTGAGCCCCGGGCTGGACTCTCCAGCTCCCGCCACTTCCCCGCCTCGGGGGTTCCCACTGCCCACCCGGGTCCCTCCGCATTTCCAGACCCCACTTACCAAACACCCCAGTGGAGATGCACGGGAACGCCTGGGGCGGGGGAGAGGGGGCGGGGCGGGGCGTGGTCAGGGCCCGCCGCGCCTCCCCGCCCTGCGCCCCGCCCCCTGCGCCCGCCCCGCCCCCTGCGCCCCGCCCCCGCCCCTGCGCCACGCCCCTCACCGCCGAGCGCAGCCGGTGCTCCAGCAGCAGGTCCAGGCTGTTCAGGTAGCAGCTGCGGAGCTCGGCCGCCTGGCTGTCGCTGGGCTCTCCGTGGACGATGGGACCCACCGTGTGGATGACGTCTGCGGGGACCACGGGTCAGGACGGCAGGGGCTCCGCGCCCCTTGGCTCCTTGGTTTTCGCCCGCCGTCCTGGCCGGGGATTGGGCAGAAGGCCGCCTTCTCCCCAGGAGGACACGCGGGAGGGGAGGGGCGGAGGCGCGGTCCGCCGGTGCCCGCCCGGCCGCCGGGATGGGTGGGGCCCGAAGCGACCCCGACAGCGGCAGCCTCCCCGCTTGCCTCCGGCCTCCGAGTTCCCCAGCCCCTCCGCATTGCCTCGGGTGCTCGGGAACGGCCGCTCGGATTGGGAGCCGGAGCCCGCGCCCGCGCCCGCGCCCGCGCGGCCGGACTCACACTTGGCCGGCAGCCGGTAGCCGCAGGTGATCTTGGCCTGGCCGGTCTCGCAGCTCTGCAGGGTCCGGCACTCGTCGGTGAGCAGGGGTCCGGCGGCCCGGTGAATGCAGCCGTCCACTGCGGGGGACGGAGGAGTGAGCCGGAGGCTCCCCGGGTCCGGAGGCGTCAGGCCCGCGGCTCCGCTTCACCGAGGCCCAGGCCCGCGAGCGAGACACTTCCCAGCCCGGCGGGAAGCGGCGCGGGGCGGCCGGCAGAGGGCGCGCCAGGCCCGCCGCGGCCCGCTCCTCCCGGCGGCTCGCCCGCATCTGCTTCTAATCGCCGCTCCCTCCGGGGCCATTTCACAGATGAGGACACCGAGGCCACCTCGTGGCAATCGACCGATGAGCCGCGCCGAGCCTGGGCCCCGCCTGGCGCGGCGAGGGTGGGGCGCCCGGCGGCGCAGGTGTCCCGGCGCGGGCGGGCGCGCGCGCACCCCGCGGTAACGAGGGCCAGCCGCCTCGTTAGCTCGCGCATCCGCTTAATTGCCGCCAGGCCGGGGCTCGTGGATCCCAGGGCGGCACCAGGCCCCGGCGAACCACCCTGGGGACCCCAGCCCAGATAAACAACTTGAGGAGACTGCCGCCGCCAAACGGGCCGAGGGCAGATCCTGTTTTCCTGAATGTCAAGACCTTTCCCCCCTTGCGTGCCAGACGTCTCACCTGCAAAACGGGGACAGGGGCATGACCACCTCGGAAGGCTGATGGCGCCCGCGTGTGTGCCAGGCCTTCCTGCCCTCGCGGCTAGCTTAAGGAAGGACCTACAGCTGGGCTCCAGACTCACGCCTGTAATCCTGAATGGGAGGCTGAGATCTCAGCATGGAGGTTCAAAGCCAGCTGGGGCAGCAAAGTCTGCGAGACTCTTCAATGAACCACCAAAAAGCCCTAGGGCTGTGGCTCAAGTGGTTGAGTGCTAGCCTTGAACAGAAAGAGCTTAAGGCCAGCACCCAGACCCTGAGGTCAAGCCCCACGACCGACTCAAAAAGGAAAGAAAGGAAGAATCCCCATTTTAGAGCAGCACAGCCAAGGCCGTTTCTGCGTCAAAACGGCGACTTGCTGCACAGCTGTTGACATCAGCCAGGCTGGTGTCTATTTTTTTCTGGTACATTCTCTTAGGTCCTGTGGGGCCCAATTAAACCTAGCTTTGTGACTTCACCCAGGAGCCGGCACCAGGTGATTTCCCAGAGAGACCTGGGTGGGGGTAGGCAGATGGAGAGGTTGGCGGAACCCCGGGAGTAGCTCGGGTTGGGGTCCTTGCAGACCCCCCCTCACCCCGCCCCCCCCACACTTCTGAGAGCCAGTGGCTGGCCCAGAATTCACACTCTGACCCCTAGTACATCTGTTCTGAGTGGGGTATCTTTGGTGATCCAGCACAGTGTGCAACAGCAGCTACTCAGGAGGCTGAGATCTGAGGATCACGGTTCAAAGCCAGCCTGGGCAGGAAAGGCAGTGAGACTCTTATCTCCAATAAAACACTAGAAGACTGGAAGTGGCGCTGTGGCTCAAGCAGTAGAGAGCTTGCCTAGAGCTGAAGAGCGCAGGGACAGCGCCCAAGCCCAGAGTTCAAGCCCCACGACCAACAACAACAACAAAAAGAGTCTCATGGGTGTTCCTTGCCCAGACTGGCTTTGAACTGTGATCCTCAGATCTCAGCTTCCTGAGCAGCTAGGATGACAGGCGTGAGCCACCACCAGGGTAGTTTTTAAGACCATGTGTCACTGTGAATTCACCCTGGCCTTGAACTCTCAATCTTCCTGCCTCAGTCTGTCCTTGCCCCCAGTCAGCAGAAAACCTGGGATGGCTCCTGTCATCTGTCTAGCAGGCCTGGAATGCCCCTCTTCAGTGGCCCACAGAAGCTCTGGACTCTGCCAGCCTCCACTTTGAAGTCCTCCCCTGAGCACTAAGTACTGACTCAGTCCCTTAGGAGGGACTGCCGTTCCCTGCTAGCATGAGAAACTGAAGCCTGAAGTCGGTGGCTCACACCTGTAGTCCCAGCTATTCAGGAGGTTGAGATCTGAGGATTGTGGTTTGAGCCCAGCCCAGGCAGGAAAATCTGTGGGACTCATTTCCAGTTAACTACCAAAAAGCCAGGAGTGGAGCTGTGGCTCAAGCAGTCGAGAGCTAGCTTTGAGCACAAAAGCTCAGGGACAGTGTCCAGGCCCTGAATTCAAGCCCTGGTACAAAAAATAAAAACAGGGGCTGGGAAGGTGGCTCAGTGGTAGAGTGCTTGCCTTGCATGCCTGAGGCCCTGGGTTCGATTCCTCAGTACCACATAAGCAAAAAGAAAAAAGCCGGAAGTGGCGCCGTGGCTCAAGTGGTAGAGCACTAGCCTTGAGCTGAAGAGCTGAGGGACAGCGCCCAGGCCCAGAGTTCAGACCCCACGACCGGACCCAAAAAAGCAAACAAACAAAAAAATAAAAACAAAGTAAGGCAAGGAGAGAGAAAGGAACTCGGTCAGAGATGAGTTACTCTGAACTTAGGGTCTCCCTTTCCCCTAAGACCACTAAAGAGCCTTCACCCCCACCTCCACGCCTCTTCATCCAGATCCTTCCGGAAGGTTCTTCTCCACCTGTTGTCTCGGCCCCTCAGCCCCTCCTTACCAGCAGCCTGGCTCCTGTCCGAAGCAGCACAGGGCCTCCCCCCCACACACACACCCCTCCCGTACCCCCAGCTCTCCTGTCACTAGGTGCTTCCCAGCCCCCGGCCCCCCAACTCCCTCTCAAGCCCTCCTGGACTTCTCTAGGCCTCAGCCCTGGCCCCTGAGCAGCCCTGACCCTCTTCTTGATTCTTAGCTACCCCTGCCCCGGTGTGGACAGAGCTCCTCCACATCTCGCTGGGCCACGCTGGCCCCCAAGCCCTTCTCAGCCCAATGTATCCGCCAACAGTGGGAAGGAAGAAGGCAGGGAGTCCTGGGGTACAGGGGAAGGGGGTGCTGGCCAGCCCAGGGGCCAGGCAGCCGGCTTCCATGGAGGCCACCCACCCCGCGCGGGGCACCAAGGCCCGTGGGCGACTATTTAGGGAGCTGTAATATTCATGAAGGGAAGATTAGCTATTTAAATTTATTCGGCAATAAATGCATCGCAGTGGGGGAGCATTCCTCATGCTAAACAAACAAGCAAGCAGGGCTAATTAATTATTTACAGGAACACGGAGCCCCGGAGCCCCGACATCCGGGCTGGCCCTCCGCTCCCCCAACACCCCTGCACCAGCCTCCTGTGAACCTGACCCCTTCTGGGATTTCTCTCTGGAAATTCTGGGGGTGCACTCAACCTCTCGGCCTGGAGCCCCATCTCGAGAGAATTGTGGACCGCGCTGGCCGGCTGGGAGAGGCCAGCGGGACGGGAGAACGGAAGGCGAGGACAGGACCCCGCCTGTCCCCCTGCTGCACACGGGCCGGGCGCAGCCCAAGACCTGAGCCGCGAACTCCACATCGGACGAAAGTCAAGACAAAGGCTCAGAGAGGTAGAGCCGCTTTCTTGGAGTCACAAAGAGGGGGGCTCTAAGGCCCTGTCTTGGCCCTGGGCTTCAAGAGGCCACCAGGGCAGGGAGGCCTGGGCCACAGGCCCTAACTGAACCAACCTCGGGCCACCTCCTCCCTCCCCTCGCAGTGCCCCACAGCCTCTGAGGTGAGCGCAGCGGGACCAAGGCTCCAGCTTCCAGTGCTGGCCGCCCGGGGAGGCCAGGCTGAGGGCAGGCGGCCCAGAGCCGCGCCCATCCCCAGGATGATCTGCTCCACCCCAGCTCCAGGTCACCTCCTCCCCTTGGTGCCTCAGTTTCCTCAGCTGTCCCTCTTCACCTGTCCATCATATGGTCACTTTGTTTTCACAGATGGGGGGATGGGAGACAGGTTCAGACAACAGATCAAAAAATTCATTTTTAGGGCTGGATGTGGTCGCTCACACCTATAATCCCAGCTACTCAGGAAGTAGAAATTGGGAAGATGGACATTTGAGGCCAGTGAAAACCCCCGTCTCAATCAAGCTGGGCATGGTGGGTCATGCTGGTGATCCCAGTTATATAGGAGGCTGTATATTGGAGGATCATGGTCAGAGGCCCACCCTGGGCAAAAAAAAAAAACCAAAAAGTGTGATTACCTGAAAAAGAACGAAAACAAGAATACATTTTTTTTTTAAGCGGAAAAAGGACTATTGGTGTGGTTTATGCGGTAGAGCAGCTAGCTTCTTAGACCGCATAAGGAAAAGATTCTTTTGCAAACCCTTCCTGCTTGCAAGCCTCCTTGCCCATTGGAACAGGATGCAGTTCAGGTTGGCGGCGGCTGCGGCTCTGAGCCCTGAGCAGGCAGGGAACGGGAACCGGCCAGAGGAGCTGGAGGCTGAGGGGAGGTGGAGGCCCAGGCAGGAGGCTGGGGAGCCCTGTGGTTCCAGCTCCTCATACACTCTGCTACGCAGCTGGACCCTGGGACCGCCAGCCAGGCTAGCAGCAGCCTCCAGCCCCATCACACCCAACTGCTGCCCAAGCAACTCAAATGTTACATGCCAGGGCTGCTGGGGGGCCAGGCCCCATTGCCAGATGGGGAAACTGAGTCCTCAAGAGGATACCAACTGTTGGGCTGGGAAGGTGGCTCAGTGGTAGAGCACTTGCTTTGCATGCATGAGGTCCTGGGTTCAATTCCTCAGCACCACATAAGCAGAAAAAGCTAGAAGTGGCGCTGTGGCTCAAGTGGTAGAGTGCTAGCCTTGAGCTGAAGAGCTGAGGGACAGCGCCCAGGCCCAGAGTTCAGGCCCCACGACCGGACCCAAAAAACAAACAAACAAAAAAGAGGATACCAACTGCGTGAGACCCTGAGCTCCCCCATCTCACACACACACACACACACACACACACACACACACACAGCATCCAGACCACCCTCAGAAGTCTCAAGCTCCTTTTTTTTCCCAGCATGGCCTGCCCTGGTCCACCTCTAACCTCTTAGACCTGGCTGGGCTTTGGAGACTAATACCCTGGGGCGGTGGTTGGGGGGGGGGAGGGGTCTCTACCCACACCCTGTGATCGCTCATTCAATCAACTGCCCTGCAAGGCTGAGCTCAAAGGCCCAGCTGGTCCCAGTCCACCCAGGCC